ACATGTCATAAAGATATTTTGATCCATATAACTTTGTTAGATAGGTGTTTCTGTGGGAAGATAAGGTCTGGGACTTACTATTCCACCATCTTGCTGATGTCACTCTTCCATGTGTCCTTAACTTTTCAAAGTCTGCTTAGATTTAATATTGTACTGCCTCATATAAAATTTAAGAACTTTGCCAATGTCTAGTTTGCTTTGTACCCACACCTCTTTCATATTATAGTTGTAATGCACATTATGTCTATGTACATTATAAACTGCACATTATGATATTCTGATTTTTCCTTTAAACTCTCATGTATATGTCATAGAAATTGAAAGAAAAATATTATTTTATATTTGTGCACATATTACCATTCCTGCTACTCTTTATCCCTTCCTGAAAATCCAGCTTTTTAATTTGGTATCATTTCCCTTCAAACTATTTCTTATAGTGTAAACATGCTTGTGACAAATGTCCTAATGTTCACTTCTCTGAAAATGTCAATATTTACTTTATTCATGAAGGATACTTTTGGTAGATGTAAAATTCTGTATTGATAGATTTTTAAAAATTCAGTTTAAAGATACCTTTTTTCTTATAAGAAGTCAATAGTCAATTTTATTGTTGTTCCTCAGAATGCAATTTTTTTTCGCCTGGATGCTTTCAAGACTTCCCCTATATGTTTGTTTTTCAGAAGTTTGACTATAATATACCTGAGTGTGGCATCCTGTTTGGTGTTCTCTGAATTCGTCAAAATCTGCAAATATAAGTATTTATATATATATACATATATTTAAAACAGCTATATTGAGGTGTAATTAATATACAAAAAACTGTGTATGTTTAATGTATTGAATTTGTGAGTTTTCATTATATTTGGAAACATTATTTTTTGGAGGCTGGCTGGTACAGGGATCTGAACCCTTGACCTTGGTTTTATCAACCCCACACTCTCAGCAACTGAGCTAACTGGCCAGCCCTTATATTTGGAAATATTTTAGGCATTGTTTTTCAAAAAATTTTCCCTCTTCTCTTGTTGTCTTCTGGGACTCCAGTTACATGTAAATTATAACTTTGATATTATCCCACATATCTGACACTCTTGATCTTTTTCAATCTTTTCTCTCTCTGTAGTTCAAATTGGATAATATTTATTGATTTATCTTTCACTTTACTTACTCCTTCTTCTGTCGTTTCCAATCTATTATTAAGCCCACCCAGTGAATTTTACTTTAGGTATTTTAATTTGTAGTTCCAGAATTTGCATCTGACTTAAAATGTTTTGTTTATTTCTGCTGTGATTTCCTATTTGTTAATCTATTACAAGTGCATTTTTCTTTATTTCCATTCGTGTAGTTATGATAGATAATTTTAAATCCTTTCTGCTAATTCCAATATCTGGTTTATCTCATAGCTGGTCTCTATTGAGTGTGTGTTTCTTAATTATGGGTAATATTTTCCTGTTTCTTTGTTTTTGTAGTAATTTTAGAGTATAACCCTGAGCATTGTGAATGATATATTGTAGGGTCCCTTTATTCTTTTAAATGTCTCTATAGAGTATTGTTTTTTTTTTTTTTTGGTTTGTTTTAGTAGACAGTTAATGAGGCTGAAGTGAAACTCGAAAACTCTCCCTTGTGGGCAGCACTGAAAATTCTGTTTAATTCTTTCAGCTTTATTTGGGATGTTTGGAATCTGTCCCCACATGCATATTTCATGATTCTACCAGAGAGTTGGGCCCAGTTAATGCACAGAATTTGGGGATCCCAATCTGTATGTGGTTTTCTCCATTCTTAAATTTCTCTCATCACTTTCCAACTGCAGTGGTCATCCTGAACTCTGTCTTCTGCTTCTTCAAGCCAATTGGGCTGTGAACACTTGTGGGTTAGAGCTGGCTGGCACTGGCTTGTGAGAGCCAACTGTGCACATCTCTTCCCAATTCCATGTTCATGAAGTCATCCATATTAGGAGTATGTACAATAGTGCAAACTGGCAAATGCTGTGAATCAGGCTTTTATTTATTTTTCCTCAAGAGCCATCTGTTGAACGTTTAATAGCTACAACACTAATTTTAGTTTCTCTAGAGTTTTATTTATTGCTTTGGCCTGGGGGCTGCCATAAGGTAAAAATTTCCAGAAAAGGGGAAACTCACCTAGTATTATTCCCTTCTTCCAAGTTTCAAATTCCTTCTAATTTCTGCTTGCTTATGTTTACTTTCCAGTGCATTTGGATTGTTATATTATATACTTTTTTTTTTTTTTTTACAGTTTATTATTGTTATCTACATCAGGGTTGGTCTGACAGAAACTTCTTCACCATTAGCAGAAGTGTTCCTAGTAAAGTTTTTCTTGGTTTGCAGTGAAATGAAAAAAACTATGAAAATGTTATTAGTTTTTCATACAGGTAAAATTGTATGGTTTGAAAAAGAATTTCTGTTTAGAAAGTATCTTCATCCAGCTTGTTTGTGTTAAAATACCTTTTCTAAAAAAAAGATGGTACCCCACAGATGGTTTATTTGTTCATTTAGTATCTTTATATGACATAAAGAAAAGTTAGCAACTATAGTGGTTTAAATAGTATACCCCCCAAATTTATGTCCACCCAGAGCCTCACGCTTGTACCTTATTTAGATGGTTTGATCTTTGCAGAAGTAATTAGCTAAAAATCTCGAGATAAAAATCATCATGGATTTAAGGTGGACTCTAAATCCAATAACTAGTGTCTTTATAAGACAAAAGAGAAGGATATTTGGACATACAGAGACACAGAAGAGAAGACAGTGTGAAAACTGAGGCAGAGGTTAGAGTGATGCTTCTATCAACCAAGCAATACCAGGAGCCACCAGAAGCTGGAAGAAGCAAGGAAGCGTTCTTCCCTAGAACCTTTGGAGGGAATGTGGTCCTGCCAGCATCTTTATTTCAGACTTCTAACCTCCAAAACTGAGACAATACATCTCTGTTGTTTTAAGCTACTAAATTTATGATAATTTGTTATGGTATCCTTTGGAAACTCATGTAGCAACTTTATGGCAGTTCATAGCATTTCTTTTTGCCAGTTTACTAATCCTTTAAATCCAATAGACATTTATGCAAACAAACCTACACATAAAGAATGTGTACCTGTGCAGGAAGGAGTGTGAATAGTGTGTACTCACATACACATTTGCTTTATGCATAACTTATGCGTTGTTTTGGTAGACAAAAATACAGTACTTGGGGTTAGCAGTCTGGGTGCTGGTCTTGACTCTGCCACTGACTCACTGTGACTTTGCGTGAATTATATTTTTTTCTTTAGTCCAATTTCTCTCTCTGTACAATGAGATGGTTATCTTTATAGGTCCTTTCAGCTCAGTGACTCCAAGTTTATGGTCCCCATCTCTCTACATACTCAATGTATGGATTCAGACTTTTGAAGATGTGTGTAGTTTGTGTGCAGCACACGTACCTCACTGGACAGGAGTAAAGAGTAGTAGGAATTTGGGGGGAAAACCCCAACAGGGTGGTAGCTTAAATACAAATGGCACACTGTGTGCAAAATTTTAAGTCCCTACTATGTCCCAATCACTGTATGTATCTTGAGGTCAGTATACTTAAAACACACAATATAACTCACTTTCAGTCAGATGCCCTTTGAGTCTCTGACTAAATGGGCTGGAAATTACAATATGGGGGGGTTTATTTAAGAAAACTTTTATGCTAATCATTATATGTGGATAAAGCTGAATTCTTTGATAGGATCAGCTCTTTACAAATATGCTCATATTCAGATTTCTCCTGAAACACTAAAAATGGAATGTTGAGTCAATGTGATTGAGTCCCACTTGGGGACTAACCTTTGGAGAGCCTTTGAAATTTGGTAGTCCATTTTTCATTCTCTAAGTATCAACACCTCCTGCACCTGGAATTTTTCCATATTTACAACCTAGATTGTTAGATCTGGAAGGGTATTTTAAGATTATCTACATCCATCACCATTCATTTCACCATCGAGAATACTGAGGGTCAGATTGAAGAAGTGGCAGTAATTTTCAGAGGCAGGGCTCAGACCTGAGTTCCTTTATTCTATTCTTAGCCTTGCTTCTCTTTCCACACTGTGTTGCATTGTTACAGTACTTTGCCCAGGTTGCTTTTTTTCTTTTGCCCCAGAGGGAATATAATTTTTGTATACTTCAAGTCAATCAGTCTTCTTCTCCCCTCTCTCTTCTTCTCTCTTGTGTAAACTCACATGTAAGCTCACACATTTAAATACACCTACGTTCCCTTCGGAATTTTTTGAAAGGAAAAGATTGTGGTTCTGCTACTCGTCTGTCTTGCCTAGAGGGAAGCTGGAGCTGAGCTGACAGTTTTGAACTGGGTCCACATTTCTACTTGCTTGGGGGTGGGGGTGGAAGTTAGGTCATTAGGAGATCAGTGTGGCTAAACTCTTTCTTAGTGGAGTGTGAATGACAACCACTTTGATGTACTTTTTTTTTTTTTTTAGCTCATTATTGTGCTCAGAAATGGAATCTGAACAGACAGGATTGTCAAACCTTTTTTGGGAGGCTGGGTTAGAAGTCACGCCCATAGGGATGTAAGGGAGACAGAGATAAAGGGAGAAAGCTCCCTCCCCTCCTGTCTTGGAGCAGCAAGTAAGCATCACACATCAGCTAAGGTAATCCATACTTCCTTTATCCTCCTGTTCTCTCTTACCCTTTTGCTCTCTTTCTTTTCCCCGTGCTTCCTCCGCTCCTCCCCTTCTCTCTGAGCTTCCCTCTATTTCTTTGCTGGAAACCTTAAAGAATAAAATACTACTTCAGTCTTTCGTAAAACAGCCACAGATCTACAGCCTTGCAGCGACGTATTCAGAGCCCCAGCACAGCCGCGTGCTCAGCACCAGGCAGTGGTGAACCCAAAGCCAGCAAAGGGGGAGGAGGAAGGGGAGGAGGGGCGAGGAGGAGGAGAGGGAGAGACTGACAGAGGAGAGAGAGAGAGTGGGAGAGAGACAGGGAGGGAGGGAGGGAGAGAGGGAGGGCGTGAGCGCGCGCAAGCTAGCAGCAAACCAGAGGGACAGACAGAGAGACACTAGGAGAGAGACCCGGAGAAAGAGAAGCAGCCGAGCTCTGTAAGGGCTCAGCCTCCAACTTGTCTCAGTTCATTTATCCTTCTCTCCTCCACGCTTCGGGGAAGTGACTGTGGCGCTCGGTAAGAAACATAGATGTTCCTCCTTCCCCTCCCCCAAGCTCAGGTCTCCTTTAGCGATAACATCTCCCCGGTGCCGGAGTCTCCTTGGGTTGGCTGGGGAGGGGAGACATGCTCTGCAGCTGTGATGCCATCCTGGGTTCCCCAATGGGGCTAGTGGAAGCCCAGGGGCGGCATCTGGGCAGGGAGGCACTGGGGTGAAACCCGATTTGGGTAAGGGGGCTTGTGATGTGGTGTATGCGCGATTTGCTTCATTGTCAGTGAATCGTTTTGTTCCTCTTTGGAAGCAGGTCAGCACTGACCTTGCAAATTGCTTGGGGGGGCCCAGCAGCTGCTGCAGAAAGCCACGAGTGGCCCCTAGCCAGAGCAGACAGCACTGTCATGACCCCCCAGACAGCCCTAGGCACCAGGGATAGGGTAATGGCTGGAGCTTCCTCCCTCCTTTAACTCTTTCTCTGCAGCTGCTTCTGGCTGCTGGAAATGAGAAAGGAGGAGGATACCACACAGCCCTTTCCCCATCTCTCCATTACCTCCCCCAGAAGCAAGGGAGCAGAAAGTTGTAAATAGCTGCTTCCTTTAAAGCAGGTCGAGACCTCCCCCCATCATTTAAGAGGTTCATGGTGCGGTTGGGCCTGAGTTCCTCCACAAACTTGGGAGGCTTCTCCTGTTTGCCTGAGGGAAGCCCCACTGCCTGCCCACCCCAATCCCAGCTAACAGCCTAGACCTGGAATTAAGATACCACACCCCATCCCACTGGTAAGCATCATGTTAGGTCCAGCTGTATCCTTCGGAGGGAGGAAACACCTGATGGTTGGTGTGGGACTGACTTCCCAGTTTGCTGCTCCTCTGACTGTGACTGCCGATGGTATATGCGGGAGGACTGGGGGAGGGTGGGGTGGCTGTTGGATATACAGAGAGCAGGTTGTGGTTGTCTAGAGCCATGCAGGGACTGGCTGAAGCTCTTGCAATACAGCCCCTCTGAACTCGTAGGGCTAGGGATCTTGTTGCTTGATGTGGGCTTTTAGAATTAGTGACACTGTTGTGCCGTGAGAGTAATTATAGCATCATAATACTAATTGCTAACATTGTTGAATGTTTAGTATATTTCAGACCCTGGGCTGAGGGTTTAATGTGTATTACCTCACTGAATTCTTTCATCAACCTTATAAAGCAGACACTATTATTATCCACGATTTACTGATGAGGAAACTGAGGCACAGAGAGGTTAAGGAACGTGTCCAAGATTACAGAGAAATGAAGTGTCCCAATTGGGAATCCATGGTTTTAAGCAGTAATAACTACTCCCTCCTTGGGGAGAATTTTGCACCTTTGTCTTTCAGATGAAAGTAGGTACAATAGGAGTATTGCTGCTTGGCAAAAATTTTTTAGTAAGTAGTGGCCTGATTTTTTGTGTAGAGTAACAGGAACTTAGAGTGGGGCAGGTTGGCTGATCCAGTCTCACCTAGGAATCCTGGAGGGGCTGCCCAAAAGGCTTTCCTTGGCCAGCCTGCTTTCCTTTGAAAATGGTTCCTGAAAATACTTTACTTTTCTACTGTCATAGCCTCATCTGTCCCACATTCAGCTTCGAACTGCACTTTTTAGGAACCTATCTTCCTCTTATTTCCTGAGAGCTTGGAGTCATCCTATACTGAAAATTTTAGAATACTTAAACCTTGGAACTGGAAGGATCCCCAAAGGTCATTAAGCTTTACTTCTCCACCCAGTTCTTGAATTTGTCCTAAGCATCCAATTTGTGAACTGATTTCTGTTTGAACTCCCTGCAGTGACAGAGAGCTCATTAGGTGGCTCTTTGTATCTTTGAGCAACTCTGATTGTCAGAAGGTAATCCCCATTATAAGCCAAAATCTGTTTCCCTGTAACTTCTATTCATTGGTTCTATGGGACTATCTGGAATAAATTTGCTTTTTCTTAATAATAGTTCTTCAGTTAGTTAAAGACAGCAATCATGCCTCCCGCTCAGGTCTCGGATCTAACAAGACCACAGAGTGAAGGATCATCATTTACTTCCTTCTGGAGATTAGACTTTTATTAATATGGCCTAATATTCCACTTGTTTGCCAGCAACAAATTGATCATACTGAGCTTTCTAAATTAGCCCTGATAGTGTATGTTCTCTTCCTTGGAAGTGTTTGGTGTCTGGTGTCAACTGGATTGATAGGAACAAAGAAAGTTTCGTTGTATTTCCAAAAACCAGGAATCAGTTGGTACTAGTTTTTATAAAGCCCCAGAATGTCTATATAGCACCCAGACAAAAGGCATGTGGGAAGATTTGAGAGACAGAAATTAAAGACAGTTGTCATAAAGGAGACATTCCAAATACTGGTGATTCAAGATTCACAGAGTACAGTATATGTAAGGTAGAAGAATAAATTGGTGTATCTGAAAGTATCTCAGAAATAATGACCTCACTGAGGGGATGGTACAGAGTAGGATTGGGTGGAAGGTGCATGTTAGCAAATGGGTTCTATTTCTGGCTCTGAGAATTTACCAATTACCTTGGACACATGACTTCCCCTCCACGGGCCTCAGTTTTCCCATCTAGAAAATGATGAAGTAGAATCTATCTTCAAGAGCCTTTTAGCTTTAACATTCTGTAAAGTAAATCGTAAAATCTGAGGATTATAAGGGGCTTCAGAAATCTAGGCCTGTGCTTCTCAAACATTCATGTGCAAAAATATCCCCGGGAGATCTTGTTAAAATGCTAATTGTGATTCAGGGGATCTAGGGTGGAGCCTGAGATTTTGCATTTTAACAGCTGCCAAGCAGTCCTGAAACTGCTGTTCCACTGGCCACACTTCAAATAGCAAAGCTCTAGTGCAGTACTTGTTAAACTATCTTGGTGAAGGACCGGTTATTTTTTTGTTTTGATTTGTTTTTTTCCCAAATTATCACAGACTGTTACTTTAGTAAAATACATTGGCTACAAATTACTAGAAAATGCAACAAAAATCATATAAAATATAAGCCCACATTTTTATTATTAGATTCAAGACAATTTTTCAAATTGCTATAGCATTTTCTAAGTGCTTAGTCTCAATTTCTGCATGTAGGTCGTTACCGCCTGACAATAAAAGTTTGTAGACAGGCACTGATCTGTGGGTCGCACTTTGAGCAGCAGTGGTCTAGGCTACCTGCCCATCTAATTCAAGAGACTCAAATTAGGCCCAGCCGTAATTTCTAAATCACCTCTGTCAGATGATTTTTCACCCTTAGATTAAATATCTTCTTTGATGGAGAACTTAACATCTTCACAAATTAACATTATTTAGGTGTTGTGACTGCTAAAACCTCTTAGTTTCCTTATAGCACCTATAAATTTCATGCTTAAATTATATATTCCAAGTGGGTGAGAGGCTGTATCAGTTCAGTTTACTGTACCATCAGCCACTAGCCTAGTGTATGGCATAGAGTAAGTGCTTAATAAATGTTTGTTAAATGAATGCATGAACCATTTGGTGTTAGTTATGGGGCCATACATTCATTACAGAAAGGTAATTTTGGCTTCCTTCCAGTACTGGGGAGACAATATTCATCCTATTCTGTAAATTTCTTATGGCAAATAGAAGGCCAGTTTGGCCATTCCAGAGAGCTACCAGGATTCCAATTTTACTTTGAAGAGATTTTTGAAAGCCGGGCAAAGATTTTGTACACTCTAAGTCCAAAGTCTTGTTGATCAATTCAGTCATTCAACACCTGATTTATTTATTATTATCAATTTATTCAGCATTGTGGTTAGGCATTGTGCAGAGGACACAAAGGTGAGCAAGAACAGATGTGGTCCCTGCTTGCTTGAAGCTTATAGTTTGATGGGGAAGAGGCCATTAATCAGATAATGACACAACCATGTCATTTTGGTCAACAATAAAGGCTATGAAGGAAGCGTTATGGGGGTGGGGCTATGAAGTTATATAGCAGAGGAAGCTGATATAGCTTGGGGTTTAAGCAAAGCTTCCTTGAGGAAATGATATTGATGCTGAGTAGAGATGTGTATGGAGGTGGTGGGGGTGATGGAAGTCGTGGAACAGTTTTCAAGATGGAGGGAAGAACATTTACAATGGCCCTGAAATGAGAGAAGCATAGCAAATTTGAGAAATTGAACAAAAGCTGATGGGGCTGGAGTGGTCTATTGTAAGGATTTCTGTTTTTATGCCACAAACGTAGGGACTGATTAAAGGGTTTTAAGCAGAATGACTGACATTGCCTAAACTGAATCCATTCAGTATAAGGTTGTAAGTGTCTACTATGAGCCAAAGACAACGTGGGAGATACAGGATGATTTAGGAATAGCTTCTGCCCTCCAAGATGACACAGTGAAGTAGAAGAGAAAAAAATACACAAACAACTACAGTACTAGGAGTATGAGGTCCACACCCATAAAAGAGAGGCAGAGGGCTTCAAGGAGATCAAAGACAGCTTCTTGGTAGTGGTGTTTTAACTAAGCTTTGAAGATTAGACAAACTTTGGGCATGCAGAGTTGGGGGATGGGAAAGGTATTCTAGGCAGAGGCCAGTTGCAGTAAAGTGTATTGTGAAATACAGTATGTGAGAGATGTTTGACGAGGTTGGTGGAGGGCTTGAATATAAATAACATTGAATGCTAGCCTGGAAAATTAGAATTTTATATACAAAGGAGATGAAAGAAGTCAGCTGGAGATAGCAAATTGAGAGTCATTACCTCTCAATACTTGAAAAAAAAAAAAAAAAAAAAAAAAAGTCCAGGGAAGGTACTTTGGAAAATGCTTATCTTTAGGATATAGGAGAAAAAGATGTACCTGTGTGAATGCTGCAAAGGAAGAAAGGTCAGAGATGTGGAAGGAGAATTAGAAGAGTACTGTATTTTGAAAGTGACAAGAGAGGACTCATCCATTTGTTGGACAAATATTTATTGAATACATACCATTTACTAGGCCTGAAGTATATAATGGTGAAAAAACAGACATGGTTGTTGCCACCTTGGGGCTCATGGTTGAGATGGGCAGGTAG